TTTTTACGAAAATTTTGATCAAGACAATTCAATTAAAAAAAACCGCAGGCAAAGAGCAAAAGAGCTGTTTCGGACGAGCGAAAAACACCCTTACTTATATATTAATAAATAAAATATGTTTCTTCGTTATGGTCGTTTTGTTTTTTGTGGATTTGGGCGGGTTGCCTGTTTTTCCCGGGCCGGTTTCCACTTCCCCATCCACCCCTGATCTTCAATACAATTTTTAGGAATACATAAAACCTTCTTTTGCAATTAAAATAAAATTTCTGTATACAGGGTGGTCCAAGCTGTATTCGGGAAACTTCGATAGCATATTCTACACATAAAAGTAAGTAAATATACATTTATGTCCTAAAATGCTTAGATTCTGAGATACATTTTTAATTAGAGCTTTTCAAAATAATTTGTGAAGCAACGCTAATATTTGGTTAGGTTAATTGGGAAATAATAAATGTTTCCATTCAACAGTTTTCTATAGGTACGGATGAAAATTTGATTTGGTTTTAAAAAATCTAGGTGGCGGCCCCTACAAGTAGGAATCACATTGACATCTAAGTCAAATTTCCCATGTCAAAAAACTCGAAGACAGCAATTTCCATACAAATATTGACGTTAGTTCAGAATTTATTTGGAAAAAATTGAAATCAAAATGAAACTTCTACACCCTGTATCTCCAAAACGAAACATTTTAGAACATACATTTATACGAACTTTTTTACCTATTTTTATCGGTAAAATATGCTGTGGAAGTTTCCCGAATACAATTAGAACCACCCTGTATTTAAGAAGAGATTTGACTATTTTGTAATGTATAAAATGTTACGATAGAGATCTTGCGTTTCAATAAAAAAAACGTCTACGGCGTGTAAATTTCAAACAGTAAAATAGGTAAAAGTGCCAGTGCTAAATGGAAGTTTTTTCTGACACATTTTCCGCAATATAAACCCTTAAAAATGTTCGGAAGGGGAAAAAGAAAAAGTGTGTATGGAAATACACTTTCATTGGCGTACGTCAGGAGTGAAATTCGTCGATCAGATGACATTTCTTCTTCAGTAGCAATATAAAGGATCGGCGACAAATTTCACGGCGCTCAAGCCAGTCGTTCAACACCGTATCTAATCGAGTTGTACCATTCAATCAGTGTCACTGTTCAAATCCAGCAATTCATCAACGATAAAATGAAAATGAATATGTCTCCATGCGCGCCGAATTGTCACATCGTGGTTGTGCTGAGGTCGTGGCATAGCCGGCGCTGATTACTAGACTTAACTAGTTCAGTAGCGTCGGAATAATTCCAATTAGAATAATAACGTTAACGAGGAAATGACCATACAGTCATACTACATATTAACCGGTATACCACATAATTCTCTATCTCATATATACATACTTTATATTGGGAAACTTTATACAGATTTCACGCTTTCCGACGTTATATACCTGTGGTTTAAATCAAGGGATTTTTATATTTTTATCGTTGATTTAAATAAAAAATCAACTTTTTTAAAACTTTATAATAAATCGAAAAATAACTGTAAAAGTAATAAAAATGTGTCCTAGAAAACTAAAAAAATATTTCAATAACAGATATACCCTATATCTATTCATCACTCAAATAAAATGTTATCCTTGCTATTGTAACGTTTAATTACTTTTAATAAGTCGGAAAATAATATTATAATATATATTCATATCTATTCATCTCAATCATTCGTTTCGAATACATTTCATTCGCAAAGTGCAGAACTAGGTTCTTCTGATGTTAGATTATATCTTCATTCCAAGAATCTATAATCGTTGTCAGAAAATATGCTCTTTTTTGAAACAGCTGTACCGATGATCAAGATAACTTCCCCTTCTCCAATTTATCTTCTAGTTCTTTCCAAATTTCTACCGACATTTAAATCTGCAGTAAATACTTTACACTTTGACATTAAATAATACTAATTTCATTCTCGACTTAAGACTATTTCCGAACAATAGTGTATTGTTTTATTAGGAGTGTAAAAATTATACTTTTTTACAATTTCCTACAAATACTGAAATTTTTCAAAATGTTTACTATTTTTATAAGCTATATTTTATACGTTTACTAAATTTTCAACTTTTTGCCACACATATTCGATCAAGCCACTGATATATATGAAACTTCTGTTATTGTGCCCTAAATTTTAGATGTACGAACGCTTAACCTAATTTACTTAAAAAAAGTCCTGTAGATCAATCATTAAACAAAATTAATACAAAAAATAAAATAAAAATATATTATCTGTTTATGTTTTTACAACAAATTGCAATTTGGCAGTAAAGCAAATGTGTGCTAAAAAGTGGTTTATGGTTTGTTAAAACTCTTTGCTTTTATGAAAGGCATTGGGCATATCACGGAGAGCCAACGATTGGTCAGAAATACTAAACGCGTCCTATTTTGCCTCAACTCTCTTTTTAATATCCCCGAATCGTATGTTCGGTGTAACCAGTCGCCTAACTCTTTGTCCTATTTTTTCGTTTCCTTCTCGGTCAAAACAAATAACCCAGACATTTATTCTTACATAATATATTTTCTTTAAAGGATATATCGAAATTCCCTGTCTCCTTTTATATTCCTTTTGAATTTTGGCTTAACAGTTTTACCATTCTGGAGAAAACATAACAAAATGTCGAAGACAAAAATCAGGTCACATTAAATAACAAATTTTTTGGTATTTTAGTTTTACATTAATATACATCTCTTCAAATAAGTCCTAAGGATATTTCACCACTTGCGCCTGTAAGAAAATCTAAAAAATAAAATAACTATTTTTTGTAAACACTCCTGTAGCAAACTTGTCAGCAGTGAATTTACTATAAACTAATAATTTACTAATAAACAAATTTGCCTAACGGACAAAAAAATGCTTAACGGTTCGGGAAGTAAAAAAAACACAAGGAACAAAGAAAAAAACTTTTTAAAATATCTAAATACAACTATTCAAGAACACTTTTTTTTTCAACAGATACGTCTATAATAACCGTTGACGTTTTGTTAAAACGACATTATATCAAGTTAAACTTCAAAATTAACAATTACTACCTGATAACAATCAATTATTTAGTGAACCTCTACAGCTGTCTGAGCAAGACATTTATTTATATTAGACTGTTGTAAAAAAGCCTCTTTTATTTTTTGTTTAGAGGCTATCGCTTCTTTCATAATAATTATTGCATTATTAAAATCTACTCTGTGCTCTGTGTCTCATGCATGATGACAAATGATTTGTGAAAATCGCCCTTTCTTAAAAATAATCTTTATGTTCTTTAATTCGGACATTTAAGGGTCTAGAGGTTTCACCAATATAAAATTTATAACATTAACATGGTATTGTATATTACATTTCTTGTTTGTTGTCCAATGTTCATTGGTTTAGTGTGGGTTAAAATGGATCTAAGTGTATTTTGTGTTTTGAAGGATGTTTTTATGTTATATTGTTTTCCTATCCTTATTTTTTTCCGAAACGCCTCGTATGGATGGAATTGTAAGTTGCATATCTTGTGTATTGTGTGTATTCTGCCTATGGTTTGTTTTTTTTTTATTAATATATTTTTGATGTGGTTTATATCTTTATTTAGTGAATTATTGTCCGATCATATTATTTTTGCCCTATCATATAAACTTATAACACCTTTTTTACTTTTTTTGAAGAGATGAATCCTCCAAAAAATATAAACATTTTTTGTTAATAAACCTACCATAACATAGTTCAGTACAAAATATAGAATGAATTTTATAGACTACTGAATTTTTATAATATAACTGAAACTAATTATTATTTGTAACAATTTTAACTGACTGACTCAGTCTATCAATAATGTATTTGTTATTATACCTCCGAACATAATATCCCCTAATCAAAATGGAAATATTTGATTCCATATTAAATGACCAATTTAAATCCGTATCCAAATCAATAGGTATATATAGGTTCAGATTATAATTAAGATACAAATGATGGATTACAGCTAAACCCAAATCATCTAATACTTGTATACCTTCCTAATAACAATCACTTATTCAAAATGTACCTATTAGTTTTATAGTTTAGGTTTAATTACAATTTAATAATACCACAATTTGAGAAAAAATTATGAACAAAAATATAAATATTCATGAAACATGTGCTGTTTTCTTAAATAAGAAATTATTAAGGTTTGAAAGTTTATGTTTAGATTTAGAAAATCATTTTTTTAATCTTGGAGGTCACTAACTTCTTTTAAAATTAAACAATGCGACTACAGGATTTTAGCCTAAGTAAATATAAGAATAAAAGCCATATTTAACTTGGTAATGCCAACATACAAAACATAAATCAAGTATGAACGCATTACAAGTTTGCATATCTTGTTAACATAAGACCTGTGTAACATAATAAATAAAATATACGGATAAGGTAGCATGTAAACCAGCATGTTAATGAAATTTTTCTATTAAATTCTTTTTATTGTTGTAACTATCTGTAGAGAGCTGTTTTATAAGTTTTTGCACACTGCCAGCAGATTTTGCACCAAAATATGTTCGTCACACAATTTTTTATTATTTTTCGAGCAAGCTTAACGCTATATGAATCGGATGAGGCAGAAATTGAAATTTTTGTGTAAACACTTAGCTTATATTACTTACAAGCACTTTTAGAGTCGCCGCTTTGATAACTCTACAACACTACATACTTATAGAAAACAATAAACATTTTTAAGTAGCAATTTAACAGTATAAGAAACCATTCTGTGGGCAGTTTGCAAAAATATAAGTTAATATATTTAAGAATAAGTCAAATATCAATATTTTTTTAGAGTTATTAAAGCAATTGGAGTTATAGGATCATTAGAAAGGCATACTAGTCTTTATTTTAGTATTAATTGATATTCTCCAAAATATAAGAGTTCAGTATTTATGAAATAATACCGCAATGATCCTATATCCCAACGGTATGTCAGTCTCGAACGACTGAAGCATGTTTTTGTCGCAGTGTCATACCCACCATCCACCTCACCAAAGCCCACAACCACAGAAACGCCCAGTAGAGTGAAAGATTGGGGACTCAACGATTTAAACAACTCAATTTATGGTCATCCTTCCTCTTTGACTATACATCAAGATAAAGGTACTGAGATAAAGAGAGACCGCAAGGTTACATTGATTGTTTCCACTTTTGAGATCAATATCATCAATTTCACCATGAAATACATAGTTTGCATAAAATATGTAACCTTTCAGTCTTCATTATATGGACTGACTTAATATTAGCCATTATTTCATGTTGTATCTGAGCACCTGCTTTTGTCTATTTTTTATATAATTATATATTTATTTATTAAACCAACCAGATTTGATAGACCCGGCACATTTAAAGAATATCATCGGACCCGAGGAATTACTATACAGGGTGTTCCAGAAATAAGTGCGAGTATTTTAACTGGTAGTATAGTTCGATCCCAGAAACACGAGTTTTTTTTTGGCGAAAAAAAAATTGAAAATTTTATATTTTTCTTGACGTATTCCGGAAAATATTCTATGGGCTTTCCGGAAATTTGTTTATAGTGCTTCCAGTCAAGGCAATGTTGCCACCTCGTACGTAATTTTAAAATTTATTTTAAAATAACGATTTTTAAATCATTCTACTCGATGTGTCAACACTGGGCGTCGAACAAGCTGAGGGTATTTGCTGCTGATTATCGATTGCTGTCGGCGGCTCTCAAAACGTTACCATTATTTTTTAAAATTTTCAAAATTAAATAACTCGGTTATGTTCAATTTATTTTAAAAATGGTAAAGAGAAAATATGTTTCTTTTGGCCAGATCTACCACCCCTTAAAAAACTTGCACTTATTTCTGGGACACCCTGTAAAATCGGACCCGAGGGATTACTAAACTGTGTATATAATTTAAAAATCGTAGAGTATTGATAAAAAGAAAAAGAATTTACATTTAAATCGAATACAAAATATCGGAACTGTATAAACCAAATGAAATCGGAAAAAATGGCAATATGGAACGTTAAGAAACATTTATAAACATCATAGATTAAATTGCATCGTAAAAAACGATCCCCTGGGATAAACAGAACGAATGGCTCGAGTTTTTAAGAAGTTTCCGAATCAGTCCTGCTTGCTTCTTCTGCCCTGGCGGAGAAACAATAACCGAGAAAGGGCCAAAGTTTTTGTATAAACTCCCACTAAAATTCCTATAAGACATATCGATATGGGAAAGCCATAAACAATAAAATAAACAAAGAAAATTAAAAGCGTTTTGCTTTGTTGTCAGACTTTTACGAACATATCTCCAACGAGATCTTCTATCTTTCATCTATTAGTTTGCTTTTCTATAGCATTTGATATATGGACCTGTAATAATATACCTTGTTCGTCAGCAAAAATTGGATAACATGAGGAGACTCGAAAAAAAATATGTTTTTATTAATTAATATTTGATATAAGAGATAGTAAAAATGTAAACGTTAGTTCACATATTCTAATTATCATAATTTCCTGTTGGAAAGTATCGGAAATGCGGAAACCTGAAAATCAGTTTATTGAATTAGGACTGTTTCCGTATAAGATAAGATTCCTTCAAATTGAATAACACCCTCGCTAAGATGAAACAGCCTTTGTATTGTCACCTAAAGAATTTTTTTGTTTTTTGTCTTTTGACTTTGTCGCTTACACAGAAACTCGTGTAATATTGCTGTTTGAACAGGTGAAGCATTAATTTATTTTGCCCACCCAAGAGCAAAAATAAGACAAAAATAGAATTAACCTGAAAATGTTTATGTTTGTCAGTAAATAATAGTTTTGTTAAAGGATTATCAACATTAACTCAATTTTTTTCCTACTTTCGTGTAGATGGAGAATGCAATATTTTCTGATTTTTTTTTTAAACTTACAGCGCCATTAACAAAACTTGTATTTCAAGTCCTTGAAAAGTTATTTCGGATAATTAGCAGATATTTCAATGGTTCCAGAGGATGTTGTGAGAGCCTCATCCAATTTTTAGAGAGTTAGGAACATTCCGCGGAAAAGTGAAAAAAAAAACAGCCCCTAATTACATTTTTCATCAGAATTTGTCTTTATATAGCGGCTGCGATTTTAAATATTGAGTGGGCAGCGATAAAAAAGCAGCATCATCCTGCAATTAATGTAAAGTGGCATTGAAAGAAAACTCCATAAATGAATTTCGTCGAAAGAGTTTAGAGTGTTGAAGTTTTTTAAAACCCGTTGCTCAATGGTCAAGTCGTTTTTGTTTTTAATGAAGAATATTTTTATAAGTGTACGGCTTTTCAATATAAACCCTGGCCGTGCTACGTGTTCTAAATCCTAAATGCAATTAAAAAGGAAATGAAAATTCTTTTAAAGAATAAAAACTTTTTTTCAGCTCAAACTCGATATAACTTCTATGCTGAGTAGCATTAAATAATCTGTTTTCATTTTGACTCTTTAGCTCAACAGCGGAATTCTTTCTCCATTTTTAGATATCATATACATTCTTCGACTGCGGTAAAATTATTAAATACATTCTTTACTAACTTCTGCCATTCCTTATTGCTCTTTTCTGTTTATAAGTATCTGCTAAGCTGGGAACGAAATATTTCCAACTGGAGATAACCAACATTTTTATTATTTCTCTCAAAATTACTTAATATACATTCCAAAAAAATATTTCTTTTTATACACCTAAAGAAAATTTTTCTCTCCATTATCACACATATAAAAACAGGCAATTCTCTTAATAAAGTTATTTTTATCTCAAAAAATTCTTATGTTAATATAATGTAGATATTTAGTAATATTAAATATGCTAACAATTATGTTTTGTTCACAGGTGCCAAATACCAGTCCAACTTGAATGAAATTGACAAATCTGAACAAAAATCAACTTCAGAAAATGACAGTCAAAGTATATTTACTGACCAAGAAAACGGTGCTATAAAAAAACGTAAGTAGACTATTCTAGAAACTTTATATAACTTAAATAAACCAAAAGAGAATTTTTTAACTAGTTTTCCCCATTTTTTCAATAGTATGACAAAAATTAAACCAGGGTCGGTAAAAATCATGATGTTTTTAAAAAAATCAGATTTTTTTTATTTTAACAGAAAACATTTTTTCCAAAATTTTAGAGTCCTATTCTAAATGGCTAAATCATCGTAGCTCTGCCCGATGCCGATAACATTAGCTGTTTCAAAAAGATATGAAACAGCATATTTTCTAAAGATTATAGATTTTCGGGAATGAAGATATAGTCTAACATCAGAAGAACATAGTTCTGCACTAGATTTTGCGAATGAAATGTATTCGGACAGCGGATATTTGTCACGTGTACATAAATTTCAAAATAAATCCCTGTCGTTTAAAGGTCTAATAGATTCACACGAAATTACTTCGGTCCAACATTTTAATTGATGAATAGATATGAAGTACGTAAGTGTTATACAAATAATTTTTTATACCGTTTTATAACATTTACAATTATTTTTCGATTTATTAAAAGTATTTAAACGTTATAGCAAGTGTAACATTTTATTTGATGAATAGATATAGGGTATATCTGTTATAGAAATATTTGTTAGTTTTCTAGGACACATTCTACAGTTATTTTTCGGTTTATTATTAAGTTTTAAAAAAGTTGATTTTTTTATTTAAATCACACAATTAAAAAAATAACTTGATTTAAACCATGCCAACCCTGAATTAAACTGAAATAATAATTTAAATTAAAGTAGAAACACCAGATGCACCACGAAATATAAGAAGAGCGACGGAAACAATAATTGCATAAATTCATCGTCAACTTAATACATCGGGCAGTTTCTGTGTTCAAATTATACATTCCAGTTCGAGAAAACTGCGAAAAAAATGAGTGGGGAATTTTATTAAAAGTTTCGGATGCCGCAAAAATTTGGGCAAGAATTTCCGACACAGTATGTCTCCAATATAAAAAAATTAAGATTATTAAAGGTTTTAAAAATACCCAGACAGGAATGCCGGTACGTATCCACGTAAAAAGATTTATATTAAATTAGTATTGTACATTTGAGGTGATTACTGGAATAATAAAACGCGAATCATATTCTATTGCATTGTGAGTTTATCCAGTTACTGAAAATACCAAGAAAATATATCTTGTTAAAATAATGGACTGCGACCAAATCAAATATTAAAGAAGAAAAAACTGAACAGAGGGCAAAGAGAGAAAGGGAACTAAAGACAGATGCTTCGGTAAAAGTAAAATCCTAGAATTTGTCTTAGAATCGTAGTAACACATATTGTCTTTGATGTGTTTTCCCCAAACGCATATAGGATTCTCTTTGCCGTTGCCATGCATACCGCCAGTCCACTTTGCATTTTAGTGACTTCTCCACTAAATACGTCATTTAAAATTCAAGAAGACCCGCATTACGCCGCAAAACTACGCTTCTGACAATGGCGGAATTTACCATCGAAATATTTTCAAACCTCGCCCAAAAAATAGGCTTTAGTTTGTTAAATTCGCTTGTAACACGTTTCCTAGAGTATTTCTGTATTAAATACCTTTATTCATTGCAAACTTACAATACTATATAATAAAAAATACATTAAAATATAAAAAAATCAAATTTAGAAATAGAGTTTGAATCTTTTTTAAAGTGGATATGTTTTAGCACCTATATGAAAGTAAAGCATGGACGTATTTAAAATATTATCATTTCTGGGATCAAATCGCAGTTAAATTTCCTCGCTGACGACATTACGTCATAATCTTTATTTGAATTGTTTTATTTCGAACGGTTGCTAGAATGAAATATAGGATATAAGGGTAGTGTTTCGTATAGCGACACGTCAAAGAGCCAGGGCCATAGGTCAATACGAATGGGGGAAATTGAGAAAATTCTATTTCCTCTGACCTTTAGACACGTTATGAACTGATGTTCATGACTCTATTATATACCTTGGAGCGTTTCTACACACGTATGGCACCAGCAAATGACCGTTTTGACAACGTTAAGCGCTGATAAGCGTTCAGATAGATTTGAAATAAGGAAATGCATTAGCTTTTCCCCGTTTTCTCGGCAACCGGAAAAATAATTACTTTTTTCCGAGTTAAATCAATTTTCTCGCCCTTTGATATTCAGTTGTAAGAAACAAGTCAGTTGCAGATATCTTATTTATTTTCTCAATGTTGTACCTCATATTGTGTATATACAGGGTGGCGTCTCTGTGTAAGACTATGTAGGTTAAATTAGAGCATTTTTTAAAAATATAGAGAGTTCTACAGTGTGTCGCCAAAAAAAGTTAACACATCAAAGTTGTGTTTTTGTTGCAAAGGAACATCCTATATATCAATTGATTTTCGGATTTTAGGAGAAAAATAAAGGCAAGTTTCGTTAGAGAATTATATGACTAAAATCTAAGGTTTTTGATATATTTAACATTTTCTAAAAATAAAAATAAAATTCAAAATTTTAATAAAAGGGGTAGGTAACCATAATATTATTTTGAAGATATATGAATTCTCCATTGTATGTCGTAATAATATACTGGATATTCCATTTAAAATAAAGCAGTACCATGTGCTTATAAAAGTGACTAATATTCAATATTAATTATGTCTTACCCTGTATAACTTTTCGGGTCACATTTTAATTTGGCTTAACATACAATAGTTATTTTAACTAAACATCAAGCTATATACAGGGTAAATTAAAATTTAAAATGCTTTCAATTAACTTACATATTCTCCCAAAACTTCATTTTGCTATAAACTACTTTGGTTTTCCTTGGAGCCACCCTGTACATTTCAGATCATCTATATTTTATATTCTCCTATAAAACAATTCCTCTTGTTTCAGATTACTGGTTGCCAACTTCGATTGTCCAGATCATACTATACGTATATTTTCGGTGAATTGTTTAAATAGAGTAAAATAATTTCTACATTTATGTTAGTTTAAAGAATTAAGACATGTTAACTGTAAGTTAAGAACAATGGGACGCTTTAGTGTAAAATTGTTTATATGTATAATCTATTTTAAAATATAAAGACTGAGATTTTAATTGAATGAACTATTTACTAGATCACCAGATTATAAAGAGTAAAGTTGAATGAATGATTATTTTAGCCAATTGTAAACTATTTATCTAAAATGCACATTGTAATTGTTAATGGAAAATATTTAAGAATCAAAATTTACCGATAAGTAAGTAGGCACTGTTTTAGCTAAGATATATTTTTTTCTAGAATAAATTAAAATAATTCAAAAAATTTATTTTACGTTATTTATTTTACTCTGTTAATATAGTATATCTAATGCAGAGTGATTATATCCTCATAAATTATTTCCAAAATCTTCCAAAATATGATGAAAAATTTAACCAGCTGTTTGTTATGGTATTTTTCAACTTGAGTTTCTTGTGCCAAAAAATCTGGTGCCAAACAAGCAAGTTCCCTTATTTTAATCACTCTGTATTGAAGTTGTTAAAACTGACGATTTTTGCAAATTGTAGAACGTTCGGCTAAATAAAGTATGTAGCTTTTTTATATAGCGAGATAAATATTCCAGGCCGTATGATAAAAAATATATAGATATAAAAAATGTATGCAGCTTTCCTTATAAAGCACTACAACAGGGTAAATACCTTTAATTTTCTTCCTCTATTTTTATCATATGGTAATATTTATGTAAGTACAATCTAAACTAATATTAAATAAATGTAAATATACGGTACTTAAATTAAACTTAAGACTAATATGCAAGAAATAACTTTCCAATTGAAGTTGGATCTTTGCCACAAACTCTGATACGGAATTCAGCCGAGAATTGTGTGAAAATAATACTAAGTGAAGTCCGCATATATACAGGGTGACCAGAAGTTTGCAGGTTAAACTTCATACATTCAGATAAAAATCTTTTTATCAGAGACAGTTTTTAGTAAATATACATATTTTAATCTACAAAATATGCTGTTAACATATTTCAATTTTCAGAGATTTATTTTTTTTTCTAATACCTCTATGAAGAAAGTGGTATGAAACCACTGAGGTTTTCGATTATTTTCCCAAACACTTACAAATTTCGTAAGTGCAATAAATCTTTTGGTCAAAATTCTAGAAAATTAATAATAACAGAAAAGACTTTACGTTGCCAGTTCACTCAGTAATATTGAAAAACACAAAATTTGGAATCGCGGTATAATTAAACAAAACAAGTATTATTTAGTGGAAAATGTACTGCTTTTTCTATATAAAACTATTAATCAATAGTAGAAAATCCTCTTGACATCAAAATTACAAATAAAATATAGTACTTATGTTTTTCTTTTCTCGGGCTAAGGAAGTTTTAACAGGGTATTAGGCGTTTTAGTCAAGTCAAATTAAATTTTCCAATATATTTCCAATTTCAATTCCAATTACATATTACAAAAATTAAATTACATAAACATTGAAAAGTAGAACTTTTCTTTTTATTTTCAATTAAATCTAAAAGAATAAAGAACCTTGTAATATACAGGACGTCCTGCTTAAATAAGTCAATGTAGTCAGAACTGTTAAGAACTGACCTTAATTGTCCTACTTGAAACTTGATTTTCCTTTTTGGTCATCTATTTTTGACCGCATTGTATATTCTTCCCATATATTAGTTTCATGAATATGATATTCATCTAGTTAGAGATCAACTAAAACACGTTTGTAGACGAATGAGAATTCACTTCGAAAAAGTAACGAAATAGACTATTTCTAATTTAAAAGGACTCGTTTAAAATCCACTTCTTTGAAGTGAATTCTTGATTACGATACCTTTACATTAAATATATTATATAATTAACTCTACGTTTAGTGTAAATGTATTCGGATACCTAGATATATATTGGAACGGTTTTGGTATTAAAAATTAAGAACCCAATGTATTGTACATGTACATAAAAAATAATCAAATATAACAAACCTGAGTTTTATTTCAAACCCTATGATTTTAAAAGTTGATAGGCAAGGACATCTAAAATTTTTAGATATAATTTTTTTACACAGATAAAAACAACTTTCACAGATGAAAGTTGTTTGGATCAAAAGGTCCATCTCCAAAGTAATTTAATAGAAAACTATAAGAAAGAGCTTTTCAATTTAAAAGAAAACTCCTTTTTGAAATCCAATCCTTTGAATCGAGTTCTCGATTACGGTACCTTTGCATTAAATAAATTATCTAATAAAGTCCTAATTTAGTGTTAACGTTCCTAAATACCTCGATATTTAACGCTGGTGTTGCTTTCAGATCTAAGGAGCTAGTTTTGCCCTAAGAAATATCGAGTTTAAACCATATTTAACGGGACGCAAGAAAACAAGTAAAAAAAGGTTAGAAAAGCATAAGAAAATGAAATTGTGACAGTGCAATCTTTAAAAAGTGGTTTCCTTTCTCGATTTAAATCCCATTTAATTGTTTCTGCGGCTATTTGCATTTCGTTTAAATTAAGGACAAATAAAAATCCTTCGCTTATAACGAATTTTTTTCTCTAATACAATTAATTAAAGAAATATGTAAATTTCATAATTTGCGGTCGTAGAAGAAAAATGACGATATTCTATGGTAATGCCCACACAAAAGATAAAATCTGACGTTGAATTTATAAAAAAAAAGTAAAGGCTTAAATTCCTTTACTAAATAAATTATTGTATATTAAAATAATTGCCTTATTTAAAAAAAATAATTTAAAAATTGGAGGAATCAATTTTTTCCTCCTCTAAACCATTATAAGAATTGTTCAATTTCAAAGCTAAATATTTATCCAAAGGAATCAAGCTTTAAGCAGAACATAGAAGCATGACCTGCAAGCTGTGAAATTTACAGCGCTGGCAAAAGTCATGATTTAAAAAATAAAAATAAAATATCAGATTTTTTATTTAAATATTTTTCTTTATTTAAATAATATTTTATGTATTTTAATAGAAGACAATATTTAAATCGGACTTCCAAACAAAATTAGGACTTTCCTAAATGGCTAAATCTTCGTAACTCTGCCCGATACAGATAACATATATGATAACAGGGTGTCCCAGAAATAAGTGCAAGTATTTTAACCGGTAGTATAATTCAACCCCAGAAACACACGCCTATCAGGTTTTTTTCACGAAAAACAAATTTTGAAAATTCGGAATTTTTTGGAAAATTTTTTGGAATTTTTTTAAAAATTTTTAGTTAAAAAACATAATTTCTTGATAATATGGCAACACAAGAAAGAAAATCCAGAAAAAATCCAGCGGTTCCCAAAATTTTAGCAAAAAATATTTGTTTTTGGAAATTTTCAAATTAAAAAAACTCCGTTATTTTGGACTTATCTGAAAAACGATTAAAAGAAAATATGTTTCTTTTATCGAGATCTACCACCCCTTAAAATACTTGCACTAATTTCTGGGACACCCTGTATATTAACCGTTCTACGACGTGTGTCATTTTTCTAAATTGGTCACCAATATATTCCCCATGAAAGTCGCTCGATTTTTTTTTCAAACGTCACAAAAGTATTAATATTTGTCATTTTAACGCCTAGGCATAAAAGTAAAGCACTTTCACGCCTAATAACAAAAGTACAAAAATATATTATTAAACTGATATTAAGTGTAAAATTCGACGAGTGTACAAATTGCTGCTCGATATATAATTACTTACAAGGTATTATTTTTATATTATTTGCAACGTTTGATATTGATTAACAAATTATTTTTAACGTTTGAAAAAAAATTATATGTTCTATTCGAAGTGAAAACGTACTTTATGTGCCTCCCTGTAACATCGGACTAGCTTGAAGCCGTCAAAAAATATAATTTTTACTGCTAATAAAACAATACACTATTGTCCCGAAATAGTGCTAAGTCGAGAATGAAAGTAGTATTATTTAATATCAAGTACTTATGTGCAGATCGAAATGTCGGTAGAAATTTGAAGATAAAAAACTAGAAGATAAATTGAAGAAGGCAGAAGTTATCTTGATCAACATACAGCTGTTTCAAAAAAGATATAAAACAGCAAATTTTCTGACAACGATTATAGATTCTTGGGAATGAAGATATAGTATAACATCAGAAGGGGAACCAAGTACTACAGTTCGCGAATTAAATGTATTCGAACAGCGGATTTTTGTCACTTGTATGATTTCTTGAAAAAAAGAAAGCCTTGATTCAAAATAAATCTCTGCCCTTTAGAGGTCTAACGGATTGAACGAAATTACTTCAAAAATTGATCCAACATTTTAATTTACTATGAATAGATATCATAATTTTTTATACATTTTTATAACATTTATAATTATTTTTCGATTTATTAGAAGTATTTAAACGTGACAATATCAAGTGTGACATTTTATTTGATGAATAAATATAAGGTATATCTGTTATAGAAATATTTTATAGTTTTCTAAAACAATATTTTTATTTTTACAGTTATTATTCGATTTATTATAAGGTTTTAAATTTTTTTTATTTAATTAACTTGATTAAATTAAAAAAATCACTTGATTTAAATAATTTGATTAATATAATACCAACACTGAAAATTTTCTATTTACACATTACGAGTGTTTTAAATATTAACAAACCAAAAAGAAAAGTCTAGAAAAAATGCTAACTGCAAAGAGTTTTAATAAAGATATAATTTTTTTTTAAATAAACGAAACAAAAGAAAGCTACATATTTAAAAAATGATTTTGACATAACCGTTTGTAAAACTGCTCCGCCTAAAAACGTTAAATCGGTAAAATTCACGTAATGGAAGAAAAGCCGCAATAAAAAAAAGCGAATAAATGGTCTTTGGCCGTCGATATTAAATGAAGAAGATATTTCCGGTATGAAAGTATATTAATTATGAAATTCCGGCAAAATAGCTGACCTGTGCCCCGGTGCATTCTAGACCGCGGACCAGTGGTCTTCTGACCAATATTTGCGCACCGTTGTGACAACTTTCACCATTGTTTGGATTTTGCTATGCATGCGAGAGGAGCGATTTTTACCAAATCCGGCCTCTATTTCGATTAATTAACTACCAACGTGTATAAATTTTGCATTTTACATTTTTCCGGCAATTACTAACCCTTAAAACAAAAATTATTTCTAAGAAAATTACTTTAATCGCAGTCTTGAAAATTGATTTAAAATAAGTACAAAAAACATGCTCAAAATTTTACGCTCGATGTTATAAATGTATTTGAATAAAAAAATAGTCTCATAATTATAACAGAATGCTAAGGACAATTTTTTAAATTATTCCATAGACAGGGTGTCACAGAAATACGTGCAAATATTTTAAATAGTAGTATAGTTGGACCCCAAACACGCCCATGTGGTTTTTTTTGTGAAAAATAAAAGTTGAAAATTTTATATTTTTCTTGACATTTTTCCGAAAATATTGAAAAACTTTTGAGTGCCGCTTGTCAAGTCTAATTATTTGGTATTTGGGGCTGATTATTGATTGCTGCCGGCGGCTCTCAAAATATTACCCTTTTTAATTTGTTTAAATATTTAAATAACTCGGTTATTATAAATTTATTTTAAAAATAGTAAAGAGATAATATGTTTCTTATGGGCAGATCTACCACCCCTTAAAATACTTGCACTTATTTCTGGGACACCCTGTATAGTCACGAAAATTGGTGATTTAAATGTAGTCATCAATTCAAAGGGAGTTTGATAATATAGGAGACGTTTTAACCTTATTTTTTTATCATTACCGTTTTTATCATCAAAAATAACTAAAAACAAAGATCCAAAAAATTTTCCCAAAATTCCAAATCCACATAAAATTTCCTATAAAATCAGAAAATTTAAAAATTGAACTAGTCTGCTTACAATTACTCAAAAGAGTTTTTAAAAACGCATAAAAAATATCAAAAATTGATTATTTTTGTGAGTTTTTTTTCGTACAGTTTTTGGAAGAAAAGACATAATAAAGATGGATAATATTCTTACATTAACATCATTTATTTGAAATAAGTTAAGCTTGTCTATGACAAAAAATGAGAGGAGTAAAACACAACACTTCGAGTATTTGCAGCAGACAAACTGTACAATATTCCTCTAATATCTGGTTACGCTAAACATGTTCTATGGCCACATAATAGAATCACACGCTCCACCCTTACCAATACATACCAGAATGTTATACCGCTTGTCACAATAATTGCATTTACAAAGGCCACCGTTTGGGCATATTGATTTATGAAAATGATTCATTATCGCCAAGTTTATATTCTGTATGATATCAGGTATGCGGCCGAATATTCAGTGCCGTTGCCAGCCAGCTTATAATATTATCAGCTTAAATAAAATCAAATCGAATCATTGTTGATAAGTATAAATGTTTTAATTTTATTATTAAATTTTAGAATACATCAGGCGAAAAAAATATGGACCTCTTGTTTTGGCCAATTGACATGTTCTTACAAAACCAAGCTAATTAAGCCTTTAAAAAAATTGCCTACAAATGCTGTAATTTTCATAATGGTTATGATTACTATCTTTCTAAAGCCTTTCAAACTGTGTAAAAAAAATTTCGGCTTTCATCCATACATATACAGGGTGAGTCTTAAATATTTGCAAATATTTTCAAGACTGGTAGATCTCGATAAAAGAAACATATTTTCTCTTTCCCGTTTTTCAAACAAGTCCAAAATAACCGAGTTATTTTACTTTGAGAATAAAAATAATGATTTTCCGCTTACATTTTGAGAACCGCTGGATCTTTTCTGGATTTTCTTTCTTGCAAATTTAATATACTCCCTATTTGGTTGCCATATTATGAAAATATTATGTTTTTTTTTTTATTTTCCATTTTTATAACTTCCAAATTTTTTTTAAAGAAATTCCAAATTTTCAAAAATTGTTTTTCGCGAAAAAAAACCCATAGACGTTTTTCTGGGG